GCCAAGTAAATTCGTTCAGCTTCAAGAGGGGCCAGACTGCATCCATCTGCTGAGGCAAAAAATGTATTTAACAGAGCACAGCTGGAACCCAGATATCTAAAATCAGTCACCCAGACAATTGCTCCACTTGATCAATGATCCTCCACTCTGACAGCCTCTCTTGTTTGCATCTCTGAAGATAGTGCAATTACCTTCTTGAAGCAGTTCAGGATTTTAGCCCACATTTATTTGGTTTTAAACTAAATTTCTTGGTAAGTGTGCAGTAAACACTAGCTAGATGTCCCTTTCAAACTTTCTTCCCCACTAATTTTCCTTTTATTTCGGGACCATTTTCTCCTTACTTTCTAAATCTACTGAATACATGCCAAGGCATGGGTTGCACTAATGTAACCACAGTCCTAAACAAGAAAGAAAATTCATTCTTCACATTGGGTTTAACTCTAACAGATGTGATTACCATATACTCTTTATCCTCATTTGTGCGTGTAGTCTTTCTGCATCCCTTCTAGATGACTGGGTTTCCATTAGTCACTACCCTTCAGGGCAGTTAAGGTAAGATGTAGGTGCACATATGGATGGACCTTATTTTGTAGAGTTTATACAGCTACTAGCACTTTACCTCTGCATGCTTCCATTTATAAAGTCTTCCTGTAAAAACAAGCCTGATTAATGCAGGTTGAACTTGCATGGCGTAAAACCCAGCCACCCCTTCTACCCATCAGTCCTGCAGGTGTATAGCGTGTAGAAATGTCTGTTGCATGGACAGTGCCATGCTCTGCAAAGCAAAGCTGCATGGTAGGTCCCAGCCATGCACCTCTCCATTTAGCACCCATGCCCAACAAAAGCACGTTTCCGATAGAAGTGATGTGTTATGATGTCAGAAGTTACCACTGAGACCTTCTCAAATTTTAGCACGTGCCTTACAAGAGGTTTGCAGGATCTGACCCTAGATCAGTTTAATCTAACAGTTTAATTCATTTTTCATAGTATTTTTTAAATTATGGCAGAGGTTGGCTTTCAAGGATGATGTGCCAGACCTACTTTTCTCTCTCAAATTGGAGATTAAGCCCGACAGTAGAAATTCAGCGAGGGCCACGACACATTGCATCTCAAGGAGACAAGGTGCCGATGATCAGCTGGGTGGTGATCCCTTGTCTCTGCAGCAGCAGCTCGCAGCTCCTGCTCAATCAGGAACTTGGAGGGAGCCAGGAGCTGGGTATTGGTGCTTCTCACAGCCCCACCAAAATGCTGTAGCTTCATGTTTAAAGCTTATCTTGCTTAAAGCACTGAAATGGCTTCCACTTGTACTCTTTTGTTTGCCAATCATGGGAAGACAAATAAAACCTCAAGATATTTAAGACAAATAAATCATACCTACTCCTGTTTGTCTTCTATCTCCTCCTACCCCCCGGTCTTCTAGAAACCTTGAGTCACTCCCATTCTCACTGGGAGCTCAGTTCTAGCTTTTTGGTTAACTTTACACCTCGGTGAGGTTCAGCCTATGTACAACAGCCCACTTCTCATGCGATTCTGTTTTTCATCTTACCTTCCCATGTGTCCTGCCCTCCTTTGGTTGTTCTCAACTTAGAGAAGTAAACATAGTCAAGAAGGTGGAAGGGAAGAGGTAGAATTTCCTTGCAGGGTAGAAGTATATCCTAAAAGTCCCAGTTTACTTTTTTAATTATTTCAATATTTTTAGGTAGCTTACTTAAGAACAAGAGATGATGCACATTGCTATCTTTGTCTTATTCATTTCTGAAGAATTTAGCCAAGTTCAATAAACTGCAGTAGAACTCAATCCTCTAATTTAGGTAAAGTCCCAATTTACTTTTTTAATTATTTCAAGTATTTTTAGGTAGCTTACTTAAGAACAGAGCTGGGCAGGGATGATGCACATTGCTATCTTTGTCTTATTCATTTCTGAAGAATTTAGCCAAGTTCAATAAACTGCAGTAGAACTCAATCCTCTAATTTAGGTTACTGACTTAGTGTCTGCTTCATTGAAATTGGAAGTGCCCGGCTCACAAAGCTGAGCTAATCCACTTACAATGAAATACACAATTAATGGAGAGACAGATTTGCCGGTAAAGCCCTGCAGAGGAAGTTGATGGCATGGTTTGGCTTTGGCATCTTCCCCTGTGTTGCATTTGGTACCTCTGGGAGTTTTGAATGTGCTCTTTAATAGCGTAAAGCCACAGGACAAGTGAGGACCTTCTGAGGACAGACATACAAGAAGCTAAAGGTAGTCATAGCAGTGCATGATGCCTGTGTTAAAGGCACAGGTGTAAGGGTCAGGAAAGCAAAAAGAGGAAGCTTGTGATTTGGGCATGCAGTTGCATGGAAAGAAAGTCCTTTAGGTCGAAGCCCTCCTCTGTCTGTGCATATTGTACTAGGTCACCAGTGGGTAAGAACAAAACCAGTCTGGCTACAGGATGTGGAAGCCTTCTGCATCCTTGCTAGTAGACCCCAAAATAGGCAGCTCTTTGCCTTTCCCTTCACTAACCCATGACTCAGCTGGGTGCCTCCGGGAGAAGGCAGATAATCCATGGAACAGCTCTCCAACAATTCCTGCAGCAAGGATAGAGCGCAGGACCCAGCTCTTTCTGTTTCCAGTTTAGGCAGAGGACGTCTGGTGCCAGTACGCCTGAACTGCTGCAGAGGTGTAAGTGACCTTGCAATAGGTATCTCTGCAATGGAGACAGCATGGGCCAGGGGGGCAGTTGCTTTTAGGCAGCTAGAATGTGGCCACCCTATTTTGTAGAGTAGGAGAGCTTAGTAGTGCAAATAGGGGACATTGTACCTGGGGCCTCCGGGCGAGAGCGTGATTTGGAGCACACTGAATATACTAGTAGAGAGGTGACCTTTCGGACAAGCTGAGAAGGTATCTACAGGTTTAGGCAGTCCTGAAAACTAGGTGCACATAACCGTGGCCTGGGAATAAGATTGGGTTTTTTGGCACCAAAATTTGGATGTAGGCACGCTGAATCTCACAGTAGATTTCTAATACTTGTGACCATACCGGGTTTTTGTTTCATTATTCTTTTGCACTTTCAGGTGCACAGTTCTAGTAACGAGGTTTCTTGTTGGACTGTTTAGGGTTTGAATGACCTACTTATGGGCTGTTTGAGGAATAATTTTATTTTGAGGGATTCCCTAGGTTGTCATCAGTCAAGACTTTTAGAGAGGAAAAGCCTGCAGACCAACACGAGAGTAACCTAACACAGTTGTTATAATGCCCAGTGATGCTAACTCCTAAGAAAGAGTGAGGACAAAATATGAGGAAATTCATTAAATCAACTGAAAGGATACAAAAATTAAGTCAATTAAATGATGCAGAAACTTTGCATAAACTGTTGTCTTTCATTCCTTTTCCTGTGCCAACCATTTTTTCCGAAAACGGCTAATCCTCTCCCCCTTAATCTTCCTCAAGGCTCCCTTTGACACTGCAAGAGGACAGTTGTTTACCATCACACAGTGAGTCTCCATAGCAGAGCTTGGAACAATAATCTGGCATCCTTCCACCTAGGCTACAGGGAAAAGCTACTAGATCACGCTATTTCTTGATTCTAATAGTATTGTTTTATTATATATCTTCTCAGTAACACAGCTGTATAAGATATTGAACACTGATTCTTTTGGGAAAAAAAGGAAAATTTTTTTTAGACATTTTTCTGGGAAAGGTTTCCTTTTTTGAATGGCTGAACTTGATAATAGTAGCCCAGGCTTTTCAGAGAAGTATTTTCAATAATTAAACATTATACTTAAATTAGAGGACTGACTTTAGTAGGAAGTTGGGTCTTTACTTAAATAAACGCTTTTAATCAAAGATACCACATTCCTCAGAAACTTGTTCCACATTACAGAGAGATTATTTGACCACTAGCTTTGAATTTGATTTGCACAATGAAAAATTACAAAAAAAAAAAAGTCTTCCTTTGGGTCTGAAGAGCGAATATAAATGTGACTGTGAGCAATGAGAAGTACATGATGTGACTCAGTTTCAATGGCTATGAAACCTTAAATGTTGCTGCAATAGCGAATTGTTTAGCAAGTTTCTAAATTCCCTCCACTGCTAAAGCTTGCTCAGAATAACCGTATAGTTTTCCATCATTAAATTAGATTGATTATGTATTTTCTCTTACCTGTGATAGCACAAGTACATTAAAGATGTGATTTTGAAAAGGGGGATAGTTTGGTATATACAATTATTTATAAAATAGTAAGCACTATCTGGTCATTATTTTTATTTTTACAGTAATACCTGCTAAGATTGTATTTGCTGTCAAACTGTTTTGTATGATGTAATTAAAAAACTTAGTATTTTGGCAACATGGGAGACAAGAGATAACTGAGTCTGCATTCGTAAGTGTAACAAATACCTGTTATAAGAGATATATATCCCTCATCAAGGCAAGGTCATTTTTATGGGAATGACTTTTCTTGGGCTTCAACAAAGAGCCAGCACATAGTTACTGTGGTTTTAAGAAACAATATAGGAAAGGGCAATTTAGCCAGCTTGGTAGGGGATATTCACAAAGAAAAGCATGGTTTATAAGAGTTGGTCCTTTGAATATGAGAGGTAGCTCATGTCCCCTTCTCTCAGCATTCAGTTCCATGTTTGAACATATGAATTAAAAAGAGTGCAAGTTCAGAGCGGGGACATGTAAATTCAAAGTGGAGTATTAACACAGTAACTGTTTTTAAAATAAAACTTTTTAATAAGAGCATTGCATCTTTAGAAAATTGGACTGTTGTTCCCAGGCTTATAGTTTTACAAGATATATCTGACTTTTATATTAGCTGTCTATGCAAAAAGAATGTGGAAGAAGAATAAAACCATGAAATAACTACTGGTAAGTCTTTTTTTTTTCAGACTAACACACTCTTTAACTAGGCAATGAAGATAAACTTTGTCTCTGATACTGTTTTTATTACAGGTTTGGATTACAGAATTATTTTCAATGACCTATCAAAATTAACAAGCTCCTTACTGTTCACAGTTTATCAGGATGCCCCAGAGCTACTTCAGCAATGAAGAAAGCAAAGCTGTCTGGAGAACAAATGCTAACAATAAAGCAGCGGGCCAGTAATGGTAAATTTTTAATCATTACCTTTTTAAATATTATTTATTTGTAAACTAAAGTTATCATTTGTCTGTTGGCTTTTTTTCCTACTTGTGTAAATCTTCTTTGTGTAAATGCTGAATTCACTGTCAGTAGAAGTGAAACTGAGTTTTATGCTGTGGAAATCTGAGCCAGCAGTGGAGTGGTCAGACTGGTCTGAGTTATGTCTGCATAAAGCTAAATCACTGAAATAGTTCAAAGTAAAATATACCATTATAATTTTCTGGTTCACATCTCATTCATCAAAGGTGGATAGTCGGTCTTACATTGTTGCAGGATTCAGAAGAGGAAAAGGGTTGATTTCCAGAGTGTCAAGTCCTCATGAGCTCACTTGAATTCATTTGGAGCTGTGGCTGTGTAACCTCTGGCAGATGTAGATGGCCTTGTGCTATTTCATCTCCAATAATCTGCAATCCTTCTTGGGAACCTTGAGTTGCAGGGAAGATGATGAATGTACCTTGGATGAAAGTCAGGATAGTAGCCTGATAGTTGAAGTGCAATGAAAGCAAAATGTAGATGCTTCAGTTCAAATCAGTAATGCAGAAAAGGCTTGTCTGGGAGGTGCGCAAGTCCTGAGTTTTCTTGGAGAACGTTATGTAGTCACTTGGGCTGTGTCTGTGCATGCCTTCTTAATCATTGGTGTTGCCTGTGTTTGAGAGCCACAAAGCATTTCAACCCAATGCAGGAGGCATTTCAACCCACCTTGCCAGCACAGCTGGAGGAAGCACTGGCTGTCTTTGTTCAATAGCTAGTAATCAGGGAGTGGAAGATCTGGATGTAATTTTCCCTACAGGCTGAGAAGTATTGAAAACTGTATCTGCCGTGCCCAGGACGAATGCCTTAAGGAGTGGTAAATGGATATCTTGGGTACTTAGGGGGACACACGGCATCCTTCCTATTAGAGTTAGGCACTGTGGGAAAAGGTATGCAAGAGTCATACCCCAGTTTCCCTAGCTTTAGGAGTTCAGACTTTGACTTGAGAGAAAACAGGTCTTTCTCTTCCCAGAACTATTTTATGCTTTGTTATAGTAATTAGAAGGATAAATAAATAAAACCTTTACAATTTGTTCCTGTCTGAATCCTTAAAAATGCAGGTACCTTTAAAATTCTGTTCTCTAAAGGTTTATGCCATAAAAACTCAGAAATCACTTCCATTTTGCAAATTATTCTGTATATCATTATTTAATAACACCCTTTTGAACCATGAAATTATTAAAAGCAACAGCAAAATCACTGTACATCAACAAGATTTCACTGTGTTGGGAAAAAAAAATCTTCTGAAATAGTTACAAATTATTTTGACGGTGCTGTAATATGAAGAGATTAGAATGTTAAGACATTTTCTTTTCCTTCAGAAGATCTATAAGTGGACACAGTCTTTCAAATAAGTTACATATGACAGTGGAGCAGAATTTGTTGCTGCAGGTGCATTTCTTATAATACAAAGTTAAATCAGTACATACAAAGAAAAAGGTGGGTCTTATTGATCCTCCGAGCATTTTCAACACTTGCTGGAAAATTACTGTGATTTTTAAAAGAAAAGTAGTGGAAAATACATTGTTTTAACTTCAAAAGAAAAATTGGAAGAACGCTTCCTTTTTCTTTTTTACTTTAATACTTTTACTTGAAATAAATTTATTTTCAAATATGGAAATAATTAATTCACTGAACTCTGATTTAAAGCTTAATTATTTCAACACCTCTTTTATTTTTATATCACACAGGTATAGAAAATGATGAAGAAATTAAACAGTTAGATGAAGAAATCAAAGAACTAAATGAATCCAACTCCCAGATGGAAGCTGATATGATTAAACTCAGAACTCAGGTAACAGTTTTATGAAGCCCTAAATTCAGCTGCTTTTTCTACATGACTGATTAAAAGAAATATAGGAAATATATTGTTCCCTTTTATGTTTCTTATATATTAAGATTTCTCTCTGTGATTTGCCATTTATAAAATCAGAAAACAATATCCATCATGCAATTTCCACATCAGTTACCAGCACTAGAAAAAAAAAAAGCTTAGCAAAAATATAGTCTTCAAGATAATGGCAAAAGCATGACCTGTCATGGTCAGCTCTGTATTTCCCCTTGATAAGGCTATGCCTTTCTAATAGCAGTTACAATATTGTGTGACATCATGGTCATTAACAAAAGTTACAAGGTGAAGGAGTCCAGATGAATAACACGGCTTTCGCCAGGTCTGTCTTACAGAGGAAATTTAGATAGGGAAGTGAATACCTGTTACGCTTCACTTCATCATGTAGTACACTAAGTGCAGCCCTTGACAGCAGTAGTGGTTCCACAGATCCAGCTTAATTCCTTTTAGGTTCCACATAAATCTGTTGGGAAAAAAAAAAGGAAAACCTAACATTAGACTAATATTTAAAACCTCATTATTCAGCAGTACTAAAACTGGATGGAAAAAGCAAAGGAAGGAAATTAATTTAATTCCTTCCCTGGCATTTTCCAGTGTCCAACATAGCTTCTGTGCTTTTTTCTTCACATGATTTGAGCACAGACACCAACAGTGAGATTTAGCACGGTTCTCACCTTTTATCAGCCTTTAGACCCATGATCATAATCATCCAACTGATTTTGATGGAAACAGAGTAAACCATTCCTTCTTACTTCTTTGTCTGCTGCTTGTGGCGAAGAGCGCCACGTCCATTGCCCTCCTCCTCCTCTTGTATACTTATAAATAGAAGGCAGGGTCTGCCTCTTCAACTTGGTTTTTCTTTGACTTCTAAACCATAGCCAAATTGATATTGAAACCTCACTTCTATTTTATGCTTGTATTCAGGGTTCTGTTGTCATTATCCGGCCTTTATAGGATTCGATTTATGTTTTACACAGTTTTCGGATGTGACCAAATATAAGTGCAGGGTAATGAGGACAAAATGGACAAGAATGTAAAGCAAGAAGAATAATCAATGGCAGGAAAATTATATGTATTTCTGTGGGAGGAATTTGGTCCTGAGTTTTGAATCTGGCAGCTTCCAATCTGCCTTATGTTTTCTTTTGCTTAATACAACACTGTAGGGGCTATTCACATACTGACTGGTTTAGCTGAGATTTTAAAATATGTGAAGCAGTTTGGCCATTATGTGTACATTAGGTAAATGCTCCAGTTGTCAATAACTTCCTGCATTTGTAATGATGAATTAAAAAAACAATAAAGCCATGATAACGCTATCACAGGCATAAAACATATATTGAGTGTCAAAGATTTAGCTAGGAATTTCACATCAAGTTTTGATCTGAAATGAGTACAGAAGCCATACTTCAGTGGTCTCCATTCCATCTTTCATGTCTCAGACTCGTGCCATTGCATATTCTTAGAAATCAGATTAGGCACTACCTGGGACCACTGCATATTCTTAGTAAAAAAACCTCAGCTGATGATTTTACCATCAAGTCGAAAGGCTGCTTTTCATGCCTTGATGCAGCAGATTTAGAAAAAGGGTAGAATGACTGGCAATGACACATACTGTCATTAAAATAATTAATAGGATTCTAGAAAATAGCTACAAGAGACATTAAAATGTTATTTTCTCCACCAGTCTTCTTCCCTTCCTTCTTCTCAGCTGTTCCTAAGCCAATCCTGACAGATGCTTGTCTAACCTGTGCTGTACTTCCTACACTAGAGATTCCACAGTCTCCGGGCAGTTTGGTCTAATACTTACCTGTTCTTACCCAGCTAGCTGCTGATGCCTAGCAGAAAATCCCAGCCAAGTCAAACTTCACAAAAATTCAGAGGCTTCAGTTTTGAATTCATATGCTCTCCTGAAGATAAGCAATTTACATTTCTAACATGTAGAGAGTTACATCGTAGTCATTATCAATCTATTAAGAGGATCAAAGTCAACAGTCCCTTTTATTTGCCACAGTAAAATTATACTGAACATAACAAAATTTTTGCTGATAAACCTTTAGAAAATCATTGTGCAACCTAGGTTTCAGTAAGACTTCACAGGTGGGGAATACGCAATGGGAAAATAGCGGAAGTGCTCTGAACACCAGAAGTAGCAGCAGCCTTGTTTGATGTGGAATTGCATCCTATATGATTGTAAGTGCCAGCAAAAGTTTTTCCTACAACAGGAACTTCCCTTCCATGTAGAATCTTTTATATTTAACAAGGCGAAAAGTCATGCTGCAGCCTTTTTCTTAGTTGGAGCATTTGTAAGACTGTCCTTTAATCAGCTGCATTTTTGCTTAAGACTTTGAAGAAAGTATTTTTAATCTAAGATCTTCTAGCAAATTTGTTCAAATTTAACATGCAAGTCCAAAAGTATGAGAGTGGCAGAAACACATAAAGGTGAGAGGGGGAAAGAAAAATCTGCGAATAACTGTGTGTCTTGTACAAGCAACAGTTTATCCTGTTTTTCGGAATAGATACAACAGAACATTCATTCATTTTAGGGTAAAATGTGGGGAGGGAAATTCCAGCCTTTAAGCAAGGGAATACAGTAATTAAGTATGCCAGTTATCTTAAGATACTTACAGATGAGTACTAAATGAAATTGTGAGACACGCTGATCAGCTGCCCCGGTATTTGCTGATAGTCAGCATCTCACATGAAAAAAGAAAAAAGATCTATTCAAGTAGCAGTGCTCAGCTAGCGAGAAAATCTATAAAATGTCAGCTCCTACTTAAGGTAGTGTGAGGCAGCTGCAGGGTGCCATACTGAGCTGGGCCTTCATTGACATCAGACTCTTCACTTTGGTCTGTAATATAAAAAACAGTTTTTAGGGTAAATATTGGAGCGTGACTGACTCTAGCAAGCACCTATGAAAGATGTTTGCATTTGCATTTGCATACAGCCTTGCTCTCCAATATAAACAAGCTGAATGCTGGTGAGTTTCCAGTTTCAAAGCTGAAGAAAGTATTTTACCTACTATAGTATGTTGTGGAAATAGCTCAGAATTAATTGATTGTGACAAAACCAAGGCCCTGCATTACTGACAGCTTGGATTAACTACTATATAAACACCTGCAGTCAAAGTGAGAGATGCTTGAAGATCATTTTATGTAGCCACATCGCTTGTCAAAGTTACTTCTATCAACTAATGGGCTGTATTTCCATAAGCACACTGAAACTTTAGGTCCAGAATAAAGCTTGAGACATCTAATTACCTGACTGTGCCAACAATTTCCTAAAATTTACCCACCCGTGGTCAAGTTAATATTCACTTAAGAACCTTTTCCCCTTCTGCCTGCTACTGCAGCACAAACTTCCAACCTTCCCATTAGCATTTAAATTGTATCAGTTCTTCCCACAGTTCACGGTCTATGCCAATGTAGAAATGGACAAAGCTCCTTTTGAGAATTCATAACGTTGTGTTCTTTGGAATTTTTTCCACTTCTCTGGCATCTTTTTTTGCCCTCTTGTCAATGCCTATTTTAACTTACACAACACACACAAAAGCACAGCGTACACTTTGTAATAGATGTTAACGGTTGTCATCCAATGTGGAAAGTAAGGACAGGTCTACAGAGGAAAGTGTAGACAGATAGGAGTGAGCTCTGCGTGTGCTCTCGACAAGTTGGACATAAGCCAGTGCTCATCTGAAATCCTTATAGCTTCATTAGCACAGTGCTCTGCGCAAGCTCGGGTAAGTTTCCTCTCAGCAATGCTTTTTAGCTCAAGCAGGGCACTACGCAAGGGCAGAGCTAACTTGTGTCTGGTCACCTGGGAACACAGGCAGAGCGTACTCTCAGTTGTCTTCACCTACGTGTAGCCATGCCCCAGAGACCCACTGTCCTGCCTACGTGCAAGTTTTCTTCAGTTCCTTCAGTTTCGGAAGTCATTTTAGTATTAGACAAGTTTCCGAATTTGTACATACATCGCAATAACGTGCAGTTGCTCAGCTTTCAAAAGCAGCCCTGTGAATTTGCATAGAATCAAATTATACTTACAAAGAGCTAAACACTGGCAGCAAGGAGCTATGCATGCTTAACGAAGAAAATATATCTATATATCTATATATCTATATA